CTTTTTACAGCTGGTTCGTCGTTGCCGTCGTCTTCGTTCTGTTGCTGCCATTTCAACAGCAGCAACAGCAACAACAACAGCAACAACAACAACAATGTGTGCGATGATGTCGTCGCCAACTAACGGCAACTGATTGCACACCCGTGTCCGAGTAAATGCGCTCACAGACGAGCTTTGATTTTCTAATTCGACTCATTTCTAATTTTAGCAAAATTTGCTTTCAATATTATTGTTGAAATGTATACACGTCCAACGAAATGTCTGAGTGTGTGCAGCATCTTTATAGTTGGCCGTCACACGGAGCGTATGCGCGATGTGGCACAGCCAAAGTTGCAACCGGCTGACAAGTGTCTGTTGGCTGTCACCTAAATGTCATAGCAGCAAGAAAGAAAGCGCAACAATTTCCCCAGTGGACACTTTGTAAGAAATCACTTATGACAAGATGAGGAATGCGCCACGCACGCACGCACTCACACACACAAACACAAACACACACACACTGAAGCTGTTGGAGGCAGAGTCTCGACTGCTGTACTCATTCGCAATTGAATCATCAACGGCCAAGGCAGTTGTGGGTGGAGGAGCCAGGAGTACGAGAAGCTGCAAGGCAGCAGAGAAATAAAAAGTGGCCAAGGACTGGCACGCACTCATCGCACCCGCCATATATCATCTGCTTGGTTGGATGGTGCCTGGCTCCCTACACTCGGCAAATCATGCCGGCGTATTTGGAAAATTGCTCCTAAAATAGAACAATGCCTAAATCTAGCTTAAATCAATCTTAAATCTGGCTTTACAATTCTGCTGATAAACAATTCCTCATCTCATCTTTTACGGGAAGTTCATTCAACAAATGCTCGATCAGTCCTTGCTATTTAGAATACACCTAAATCTGTTTCTATACAGTAGATTGGTTCCTAAAAAAGTCGTGTAAAAAAACCGTGTGAAAACAGAACTAGGTGTATGTATATGAAAATATATAAATGTAAATACTAGCGAATGAAAACTATTGAACAAAGGATAAAGCAATTGGTACCTTTTTCTGCTAAGCTTTGATTTAATTTCTCAGAAAACACCCAAAAGGATGCGCAGGTCTACACAAAGTTTCTACAATCTCTACGAACGTAAAGGATCAATTTTGAAATCAAATACATATGTAGATTCATCTAAATCCAAGAAAGGGCACGTTTATGTCTCTTTTACATGCGAAAGTAAACATATTTAAATACATTTCTTAAACTTAAATTAAATTATTTACTGAACAGATAAGAGGCAGATAAGAGTCGGGTCCGCACTACTCTGGCATTCTTGTCGTTTTACATACGAGTATTATTTATTTATAATTTCCAAAAACGACTTCTACAAATATTTTCACATACTATCGACCCGTTAAGAAAAACAGGAAACAAGGTTCTGCAAAGTCAGCGAAATACTCACCCTAAGAACAAAAAAAATAAAAAAAAAACATTTTGAAACATTTTCGACAACACGTCTGAAATTTTCTGTGTATAGACCTATTCCAAATGGGTTAAAATTGCATTTTGTCAATACACTCAAGAAGTTATAAATGTTAAAATGTTATGTTTCTGCTTTAATGACTGTTTAATACCCATTTAAAAGTATATTCGTGGAGTTTCTTTACGTACTCGTAACTAATTGCAGAAAAATCTTATACCTCCGAGCAGCTATTTCTGATTTGGTAACAAAACATATCACCACTATAACCGATTTCTGTATAACACAGAACCGATCTTAGCAAACCTCTGTGATTATTTGAATTATTTGAATCGTCGTCTAAATTATAATCCTCCCTAAGGAGAGGCCTACTTAGATTTTCAGATGCTATAGAACTTGAAACTTGCTTGGCACTTCCTCACCAGAAGCAATCAGAGGAGAAGCTGTAACACATAAGCGAATGTAACTTTGAAGGCAAGTGTAACCTTTTTATTTTTCTCAGTGTACTGCCCGCAACAACGCCCCCCTGCTGATGCCCTTGCCACGCCCTCTGCTCGCTAGCTTGTCGCTGTCATGTGACAGCAATTAACACCGAACCCAAAATGGAGACACAGGAGGCGCCAGCGGGTGGCGCAACCGTTGCATCAGTTCTTCATGTTATTGCTGTTGCCTCTGTGGTTGTTGTTGTTGTTTCAGTGAGAGATTTGCGGAAATTGAATTTGTGGCAATCTCCGCTGGTCCCATTCGTGTTCGCATTCTCATTCGGATTGGGATTCGTCGGCCACGACACGTGTGGTGTCGTTTAATGGGCAACAGCGAAAGCGACATTTGTGCGGCAATTGTCAGCTCTTCTGGGCGCTGCAATCCCGCATCCCCACACCCCCGCTGGCCCCCAGCTGGCCGGCCCCTAGACGGTGCGATTCGGTTTCCTTCTCGCTTAATTTTGTCCGCAACTTTGTTGCATTTTCAAAGTAATTTGTCATCATAGCTGCGTCCTCAAAGTGACAGTCTGACAGGCCGCAGAGCGGTTGAATGACGAGACCGGCAACGGGAAGGGGGATGGGGATGGGAGACTGCTTATGTCTCGTGTCCAATACCCTAGTGCCGCGTCTCCTCTGCAATTTCCACGTATTTATTGTTTTTATTTTGGCGCGTCCCTTCAAGTGTCAATTTTACGCTGCATTTGACAAATTTCGATGTTATTTTCTCGTTGGCCAAACTTAGAACCCGGAAGTGTCATCTCTAAGATGACAGAGCGCTGCGACTAGGGGGAGTAGGGGGCAGCTGGGACTACTTTGTAAATACTTTGTTGCATGCGTCTAGAGGTCATTCGTAGAACTGCGCTGTTAACTTATTTGTTTTTGAATAGTTTTCGAGCCCATGGCACATCTCTCTGCTATTTGTTGGGGGCTATAGAGAATATTGTTCACTAAGCCTAGTGATTATGTCTAAAAATCTGAATACTCGTATAAGTGAAAATTAAATATTTAAAAAATAACATCTTTACGATCTAAAGCTACCAAGCGTTAAAAAAAAAACATAGAATGTTAGATTCACGCAGTCCTGACTTCTAAACCTTCTACAATACTTCCAAGCAGAACCTACCCTACGTATTTTATTAATTAATTAATTCATTTTTTTTTTGAGTTTCTAGTACACATGTCATTCCGTAAAACGTGAAATTCTGCGGCCTTAGAAACAGACCCGATTAGGAGTAATTAAATATATTTCGCATTTGAAATATTTATTGAAGATTACAAAATAAAATCACGCTATTATTCTATTACTTTAGTTATATTTTAAATTTGAGGCTCATTGAAAACATGAACTATATTTATTGAACAAAGTTCGACTAGCTTCTTCGCTAGATCGATTCGGTATGCAAGTTTTAAGTGTATCTAGGTTTTTATAAACTATGGAAATTGAATGTAGAATTATACAGTATGTAGGTCTTAAAGCAAATTAGTTTATTTCATAGGAATGCTCATTTAGTATACGTGTTAAAGCAAACAGATATTTATAATTATAATTAAAAGGAACTTTTTTTTCATGATATTCCGTAAATTATTTTCCTCAAAATCCACTTTATTTTCATGATAGTTCATAATTTGTTAAATACAAGTATGTACAAAAAAGTGTATGTTATTGCATTAATTGATTTATACATATATATATTCGACTGATAACCGGACGTGTAAAGAGAATTTCTCATGAAGTGCCAGTCATTATTTGAATCTTTAAATCTTGACTCTAACGATTTTACAATATGATAATTTTTGTTCGGTTTTTCCATACGTCGAGAGATTAGATTTGTTCTGTCGACTAAGTAATTAAGTACTGATTGGTATTTATTTTATATTTCTTTACTTCTAACGAATATTTGTAATGATTTATGTAAGTATATATTTTAGATCCATATAATCGTATATAGCTTTTTCTTCATTAGCTTAGAAGGTTTATTGGAAATGAACGGAGACCCTCTCTCTTGGAAGCCCCAAATGACTTGGACTCAGCACAGACGCTAATCAGAGTCACTAACTAATGCACATATGCAATTAGTAGTTAAGTACTAGTCTCTCTATACGAGTACGTACTTATTCGCTTTTCCAGCAACTGGTCTGTTTGTTGCAGCTGTGCCAGCAGCTGGCTTTTACAGTTGCCGGCCAACTCATTCGATATTCTAATTGGGGTTTGGTTGCTCACCCATTTCAGGAGAACGGTGCTGGCGATTTATTTTTGCACATTTTTCACAGCAATTAAGAGGTTTGGAATTTACATGCTGGTTGGTTCTCGAAACTCAATTGAACGACGATAAGGTTCAGGTTTGCTTTATGCCTCCATTTGAATAAAAGTTAAAAACCTGAAACAATCTTTTTGCATGAAACACAACTGACTATATATTTTAGAGAGAAAGGAATATTCACTACGTACTATTTATACTCACACACACCTGGACAGAATAATAGTGAGAGCCCGAAAATGTGTAAAATGAAGTGATTAAATTATTTAGCGATGTTGTGCAATTTTGAAATGAAATGGGGAATTCCCGCAATTAGAGCTCATCTTGATAAATATTGCTATTTGTTCAATGTCAAAATTTAGCTGGACAACAAAATAGGTGTGTTTTGGTACTAATTTGAAATAATCTAGTAAATATTGAAAGTGAACAAATTTATAGTAATATTTAGTTGCAGAAGGTAAGATTTTAAGGAAAATAAACGAAATAAATGGGTGGGTTTAGGTCTCAGGAATTGCTCAAGAAATTGTTGGCTATTCAAGAATTTTTGCAGCACTAACTGGCCCCATTTTCAGACCAAAGCCAGGTCAAATTATTGTTCGATTGCAATACTCTTAGCCGTCTGGAAATTGGAAATATCTTTTTGCTCATTTCCTGTTAAATTTTCAGATAAAGACCCAAAATGTAAACTTTTAAGGATGCTCGATTTGGTAAGCATACCTCATTAGTTGACGACTTTTGAAACGATTCGATTACACTGTGTCCTGTGTTATTGGAATGGCCAAAGGACAAAGAACATTGAACATTTCTCTTAATTTAATAACTCTTTTTATTGGGCAGCTTTACCGTTCTAAAGTCAAAATTGAATGGTTAGTTACAAACGAGCTGCTGGTTGGTGGGCTGGAACAAATAAATATCGCTATCTTAGTCGTCTTGGAGCCTTGGTTTTTTGAAGGACTCATCTGATGATGAGTTTTCGGGCTCAATTGATGAACAGAGTGTCCGCTTTCCGACTCGCGACTGATTCTCGCTATTGTCGATCGCACACACTCGATGTGCGTGTATGGGGCGTATGTCCCTCATGGCGGCTCTACGGCGGCACTGCGGGCAGTATTTACATTTTTCCAAAGCCTTGCGAACACAATGGTCTCCGAAGAGGTGTCCACAGCACAGCGAGACCAGCTGGTGGTTGCCGGAAATCGCCCACGGCTCATAGCAGATGGAGCACATAACGCTTTCGTCGTAGACGCTCACAACATTCTCGTTGCTCCTCTGGCTCTGCTGCTCCAGACGCCGCAGCTCCAAGCGCTGCAGTTCCAGCTGACCGACCACTTCTGCGTGCTCCTTTTCTAGAGATCCCAATGCCGTTTTCAGGTCCTCACACTCCCGGACAGCCTCCTCCAACTGCTGGGGCTGCTCGACTGAATTCTTGGCTCCCATCGTGTACAAGTCTGTATGTCCTGCGTACTAAGGAAGCTTTAGTATACTCTACTCAAGTAGTAAATTCTATTGGTGACACTCAACCAACTATTCTCATCTAAAAAGCCAGAATACTAATGAAAATCAGTCTTTTCAGAACCAGCACTCATGACAAATGCGACTACAATTGAAGATAAACGCATGGCTAGCTACACATATGTATATGTATGTGACGGTTCCTTTTTTAGCCACAAAAAGGGGTCAAATACCAATCTTGGTATAGCCAATCGATATCGATAATACCGTATATATCGACGCCTTTACCTTTCAAAACAGCTAATCACTCATTGAGCCATGGGTGTGTGGTAGGGAAGGGGAATAATTGCTATCGATACTAATAGAAAATCGCAAAAAAATATAAAATATCGATACAACATCGGCTACGAGTATTTGGCAACTCTGCTTGATATCCTCAAAAATCAGAATTACTTCTGGCTACACGATGCGGCTTCTCACCCGCCCTAACAAGTCCCCGTGGCGCCACCCTACAACAAGATTTTCCATATAAAGTCCGCAATATTTCGCCTTAGAATGGAACTGATTTGGATTTGTTGAAGTTTTTTCATTGATCATATGCATAAATTATTTTTTAAATGCATCGTGCATTATTTAATCAAAAGTTTAAATTTTGGGCCCCCCTTTGGTAAAAGTTGCCTACGCCCTTGCCCCTTATTATAAGTATACAGATTTTTAAAACTTATATGTTTTTCGTCAGCGCTGTCTACCAAGCTTAAATAATTGGGATCGCAAGTGCCAGTGCCTTGGATGGAAGAAGTTCTAGAGCATTTTAAGTAACACCCACTAGCAGTGACAACAATGTTGTTATGTCTTTTTATATAAGAAAATAACACCGTTCAGAGCTAATCATTGTACGTAAAAAATCTTCCGTTCTTTACCAAACTCTCCGTTTGAGTGGTAAATGGTTTGTCCAAATCGAATAGCCATCATATGAAGTTCTTCTTTTTTACTTTATATTACTTCCTTAAATAAACTATTAATTAAGATAATCGCTCGCATTCATCACTTATTGGAGGAATAACACTTGGTTGTTCACTGATGGAAAACAAATATTGCGAAAACTTGCCACAGTTGCCAGCAACAGTTGGTCTACTCTGGAAGATGTTCGCCAAATAAGGAATTCCTTAAATAAAATAAGCAAAAAAAACCAAAATCTATTAGCAATTACCCTCGCTCAAATCAAGCATCTTCGTCCGCCTCCGAATTGGTCTCTGGAGATACCAAGCCTTGTCTTCTATGTAGGAAAAGCCTGTCGATCATTCGTATTTTTGATAGTATCAGGAAAACCCATTACTGAAATTCTCTTCCGTCTTCCATCTTACAACAGTCTTCAGTCTTAGTATACAAACAAACATAATTATTACATTCATAAAATATTGTAATTTAAACATCCTAATTAAGAAATCATCTAATTTAGAAACCCACTCATTTTTATCCAAACAGGAATAGCAAAACTAAAGGCCTTGGCGCTAGCGCTTCTTATAATTTACTATAATATTATTTTTATTTATTTATTTAATGCTAGTTTAAAGTTAAAAACTTACAGCTAACAGGGTTTAAATAGCTATGACTATCAGGATCTTAAGATATTACCATCAATGAGAGAGAGAGTATATGTACTTATAATATTATTTTATTTAAATGTATTACTGTTAGTTTAAATGTTTGTAATATTTTTAAATAACAATTACATGGCAAGATACTGGCCACTCCCTATTAAGTACCCTAAGAACTAACCACTTAGTAGTATCTGCACTAACCTAGCACATGTTGTAAAGCTAGCGGTATCTGGCACTCCTCTAGCAACTATGTACGTAGGAGCTAAATACCGTTACAAATATTCCGCAATCATGAGTGCATAGCTCCATGGCCGTAGATTCTGAACGAATCCAAAATTTTGCAGACAAATTTGAATTGTACAAAAATCACGAAAAAAGACATCCATTTTATGGCTACGGTTAATTTATCAGCTAGATTGCTATGAAGATATAATGTTGAGAATATATACATATACATATATGTATATGGGCATGAAAATATTGTGTTAATATGCTCAAATTATAACTCTTTACTAGCCCTATATTTAGTGCTAAGGTTGATTTTGGGCAATGGGGCAAATAAGTTGTTTTTCCGGCCAACGGTTCGCTGATTTTATCGAAACCTGAGGCAATATATATCAATGCGACTAATTTTAAAACGTTGTCCATTATTGTCTCTTAAAAATAGTTCAGAAAATGCAGTTTCAGTTCTGAACTGTCGAAACAAAATGATTTTAGATTTCTTTATCTGCCATAACGTTCTTTCGATAACTGCCCCGACCCCAGATGCGGCTCCCATTATATTTTAGCTTCTTTTTTGAAAATTAACTACAGTTGATACTATAAATTGATTTTCAAACTGAGAGCAGCACCTATTAGAAAAATTACATATTTTTCTTCCCGTTTGCACGCCACTTTATTTTTTTCGCAGCCGGTGTTATTCATCTAGATTTCAATCATTTTAAAGATGTACACGTATGTACTTGTACGAGTATATACGAGTATATAAAAATTTATCATTTATGTAAGAAAACATAATTTCAAATTCTTAAATTTTACACTCTCGATGTCGCACGGGACCAAATGGATATTAGTTCCACGATGACAAATCTTCTTATTTTTTACCAAGTTTTTTTTACATTTTATTGCATTCGAAATTTCAAATTTTCATTATTTTGAATTTCCTTTTTCCCTATTTATCCATATTTTTCATGTGTTTTTTGTGTAGTGGAAATAATTTGATAGTAAAAAATCGGCCAAAAATCCTGGCTACGCCCATGCATAGCTCTAACAATCTCACAAAAATACAATGATTGATATACATACTTGTAAATAGTCATGTATTCAAGGTGGCTTACCAATAATTTGGTGCGTAGTGCCAGCATTGCGTCCATGTAACAGGCGATCCACACACACACACACACACAGACTCTTGAAAAAATTAATGGGAAAACTAGTAGTAAATAAATTAAGTTAACAACAACAAATAAATTTAAGCCAACAATTTTGTGGCATTGGATGTGCTTTTTGCATGTTTTGTTTGCGTTTTTGTTGCTGTTTCTGTTTCTGTTGTTGGTTTCTTGTTGTTGTTGTTGTGGTTGTTGTTGCAGCTGTATTGACGGCCTTCGCTAATAAACAGTTATGCAATGTGCAAAACGGCCAAAGCAAAACAAAAAATTCAAACGCAGATAAACAGCACAAAGCAGCCCGACAGAGTGACAGAGACAGGGAGAGAGAGAGATAGAAACAGCAACAGCAACAACGACAACGACAGCGACAATAACAATAACAGCTGCAACAACACCACCAATAGCAACAGAAACAGCAACAGCAACAACAACCACTGAAACTAAACAACTACAACAACGCCGGCAGCGACGCAGCGTCGGAACGTCGGCGTCGACGACGGCGCCGTCACAAGCGACTGCCTCGACTAAAGCCAAATATGGACTTTGGACCAGCACGCAAACCGCCGACATGGCCGGGGCCATTCCACCTCACTCTACCTCACCACACTCCCCTCTCCTAAAAAAAAACACACACACACACAGACACACACACACGCAGACAATTACAGCCGCAGATACAGATAGAGGAGAGAGCAAGCGCGGATGTATCTTTTGGAAAAAATTTCACAACATTGCGAATTTCCCGGCTCGCAGACGCGCGGCCATTTATGTAAAGCGAGGCGACCACTGAAGATGCCCATCCGCGTCCAATAGGAAGTGTTTGTCGCCGCACGAGCCGTCCGTCCGCCCCGCTGCTCTGCTTGGCTTGGCTGATTCGCTGGCCATGTGCCAATGGCCAGACCAGCGCCATCATCTCAAAGCCGCTTCTGACCCAAATACGCCAGCGGACGCCAATGAAACCATAGAAGGCAGCAGACAAACAGTGTCCCCCGACACCTCTACCTATACCTATAGTTCCTCCAACTCCCCCTCCCCCTCTCCCTCTCCCACACCCACCCAGTCGACCCAATACGCACGGCACAGCACGCACATTTCATGTCGCCTGTCCACGATTTGTGAGCACTGTGGGATTGGGTATGGGGAGTGGGTTTGCTCAAGGGTTGATTGATTCCCCCGGCTGGCTTTATAAATATTCAAATCGTCTGTTTATAATAAAATAGGCGCTCTCCCACTCCCGAGTATCTGGCAAGGAGGCAGGGCTCCAACTCGCCCCAGCCCAGCACAGTCGCGGCCGATAAACAGCCCTCCTTGAAATGCCATTCAAGTCTACGACTACGTACGTACATATCTATGTATGTATCTAGATACATATCTATATGTGCATGCAATATATCTAGAAACTAGTATCCAATAAATCCATGGGCAGGCAACATGCTATTTGCGGATGCCGTGAGTTTGTTTTTGGCTCTTCATCGCGTAGAACCAATTCCAAAAACGGGCACAACATATAATAGATGATGCCACTACTCCAGGCACATGATCTGATTTAATAATAATTTAATTCAATAGGGCAACAATTAAAAAAAAATCATTATTATTCAAACCTATCCCAAAACGAAGCTTTTTTTCTATGTATATTTAATATAAGCATTGAATCCGTGCATACAGGCTTGGCATCTTAACTATACATATATACAAATATATGTAAGAATAGCAAAGGTCTGGAAGGAAGGAGTCCTCTTGCAAGCAAACTGCGGTGCCTGACAGCCTGTAAAACAAATTAAAATATCACTAGGATGCTTCTTTATTCAAAGTTACGGACTATATTGAAATTGAAAGAATTCGTTAAGCTTGGAAACTCCTTGAACCATTTTAGGCCATCGGTTGCTTTTACGCCTCACCCAATGTTTATTAGTATTGTTTATTTAAGAAAAGGTTCAGATTTGTTCCTTCTTTAACGCTTCAAAAGAAGAAACGTTTATTTCCAGAAATCATCACAGATCCTATTTCGTAATGAAAGAAAGAATTAAAGATTGATGTGAAAAACAACAATATAATAAGCTATTACACCCTTTACTGTGCTTTACTATATAATCCCTATTTCCTTATTTCCATAAGGAATGCAACATCGATGGGAGTGGCAAGAACACAC